CTCCAACATAGTCAGGGATACTGAACAGTGAATTTAGAAAGTTGTGTAAAACCAGCCTTAAACATGCATGAGCTTTACAAGCTGTGACACCCAAACTCTTCAGTTGTAACTCAAAGTTCTCAAGTCAGAATTTCTTGAAAATGAAATTGAAACATTAGCATTTCCATAAATTCAGCTAAACCTTTTACATAGGACAACAAACAGCCATCATCAGGTGCAATGATTTTTGGTCACTGACAGCATCAAACAGATTCAAAACAGCAAGGAAGCAATGAAAGAGCTAGCAGGTCTATAAATCTTTCCTGTAGCTACGCCAGAGGTGAAAGACATCCAGACTACCTGCATTTGCTCCTACCCACTGGAATTGTAAATTGTAGACATTATTTCAGAAACAGATTTATATAAGGATAAACACTATTTATCCTAATCCTATCTATTTTTCATCTGGAACTGGCACAAAATAACATGCTAGATGATGCTTTAAAAACTTTTTTTTTGTACCTTCAGCAGCAACAAAGCATGCCTTACTCATCTGCTTTCACCCTCAGAAATCCAGTACAAAGAATTTTAAGTCAAAGAGAATCTAGGAAATCAACATCAGAAACACTTCTACTTGTCTAAGTTCTCCGCTTTCTTCAAAGCTTGGCTGTTTGACACTCAAATTTCAATAGCTGTCTTGCTTTCACCAAACTTGGAGCTGTAAAGAACTGCACTCCCCCAATGTTTAATGGTTTGAAGAGTCTATATATTATAGACTTTGGGTTAAGTAACATGACCTTGCATAGTTAACAATTAGCTGACATATTATTAGCTATGGACATGGGTCTTGAAGGACAAAGTGTTCTTCATGTATCTATTTTAGACCTCTCAGATCTATAATTTTACAGATTTTAAAACTTTGAGCCAAAAAGGCATGAAAAGGTATTTATTTGGCCATGAAGCACTAAAGCACTATTTGCATGGCACAGCATTCAGCTAGTGAAGGCTTTAACTTTTTCCCTAAGATGACAGCTAAACTCTAATGCATTAAAAAAGAGAATAGTAGAAATTTTTGAGCCCCTAATTTCAGTTAATGAATCCAAAATGTATTCATTCACCTTCATCAACAAATTGCTACTAACAATAAAATTTGCCATGTTTCATCTTCATTCTCCTGCTTTTATTTCCATTTTTATTTTCCTCATTGAAGAGATTTAATGACAATGAAGGTCCACCCTCCCAAATAAGTTAACAGCATTTCGTACTGCTCCATCCTTCTCTGCAGTCTCTTGACACTTCAGAACCTTTTGTGCCATGGACAGTCTGACAATATTCCAAAGACATAAGGTCTCTGGCACAAAAGGAACAGATAATATTAAGAGATATTGCTGAAACCTTTTCTTCAGGAAATTCCTGGATGGATCAGGAAGTCTGAAGACAGGCTGAGATTAAATAATAGAAAATAAAAGGAAAAAAAAAGACCTCTCAAAATACATAGAAACATAAAGTCAGAAATATAGTACAAAGTACACTCAGAAAAGAAATTGTATCAGAGTTACACAATTTCTTTTGAACAAATTCTTCCCCATAATTTTCCTGCAGTATATATACACTACTTAAGTCAGAATTTTAATAGCTTTCAGCTGACTACTTCTAGTCATATATTCAGCCTATTAAGTCCATACTAAATTTTACCTCACTTCATTTAATATAATTTATAATCTCAATTAAAAATTCTATGCTTTTATAGTAGGGGGGTAGATTGCCCCCTGGATGCAGATGCAGAATCAGACACTATGGAAAGAGTAGTCTCTGTGTAGAAGTCTGAAATAAATCAGATGAATTAGCTAGATGTTAAAGTGTCTAAAATAAGTGATATGAATAACACCCAGGCAGATCCTTTCCTGGGGAATGCCTTTTTCTTTCTGTTGGCTCTGAAAGGAGCCCTGGGGCAACCATCTTAGATGTATATAGGTAGACATTAAGAAATGAGAGAAGTTTACAGCATGAACAAGCTGCTTGCACAGCTGACAGGAGGTGGATAAAATGCAGGATCTGGAACAACTTTCACAGTCATGCCAATTTTGAAGATTTTTTTTTCTGATACAGCAGCAGATGAACGGACTGATGCTGGCTGTGATGGAGTTTCTCATAACAGAGGCAAAGTCCTGCAGCCTAGTGAAAATCAGAAGTCCTTGGGATTTCTGATTTTCAAATCAGACCATAGGGGAAAATCACATGTTGCCGGGTGAAGAAAAAAAACACCTTGTGATGACCTTGTGATGATGCCAGATCTGCTCACAGAGTCTTGCTCTTTTTTAACCACTTTTCTGTTGGCTTCTCTGTGTTACAAACATTGATTTTTAATTTTTGCTACCTATATGGAACTTAATTTTACTTTTCTTCATGCTGCAAAAATTCAGATATCTACTCTGATTAAGATCCCTGTCTAAAAAAAATAAATGTGCTTATATTCAGTGAAGGATAGCGAAATCACAATACTACAAAGCAAGAAAAACAGCAAGCTTAAATTATAAACTTGGCATCTCAACTACAGATTTGTAACATATGGTAATTTGCCTCTAGTTCTCTTGCAGTTGCTGGCCAAATTAATCCATTGGAATAGAAATGTCCTGAGTTGTAAGAATAATATTACACCAACGGTAAATCCCAGTACTTCATACATATGTCTCTGGCTGGAAAGATTTTATCCTTAAAGTGCCCTGAAAATTTATATCTCTGAAAACATTTCCCAACCCACATTTATTTCCTCTGTGGTGCTTAATGTAGACATAAGTTACCTTTGTAATTAATGTATATGATTTGAACCAACAGTGCCTAATACAATGCTTCAGGCACTGCCACACTACAAATACATTATAAATTGAAAAATATAAAGATTCTTAAATAGGCTCCTTGCAGAGTTGGACATGGCCAACTTTGTGGGCTTGACTGCACAAATTTATGCTAATAAAAATAACTGGGGTTTCTGAGGTTTTCTGCTTGAGAGAATGCCTTGCCTTATTTTTGAACAATTCTGGAATAAAAGAACAGATTTTGCATTTATGTGCCTTAGACATTAAGGATTCCTGCAGTGAATCACACGGGCATATCAACCTCATCGGGCAGACCACGTGCAGAATTCATCAACTAGAAGTAAACGAAGCTCATCAGTATGTATAGAGCAATAACATATAAAACAAATGATGCAGCATAAATATATTAGCTTGGCTAAGTATGCAAGCTGAGGAATCTTGATCTTCATCAGGGCTTAGAAGCCAATGTTGAGATGGGGCAAACTGAACTCTACTGCAGTTCAAGTTAGCAAGTCATGTAGGACACTGCGTTAGACACCCTTGTGTGGAGACTTGAGTTGACTCATGATTGCTGGTTTGGACTTGCACCATTCCTGCCCCACATTTTGGATTCCTGGCTTACCTCAACCTTTGAGGTTGTGGAGTCTCCTTCTCTGGAGATCTTCAAGACCTGCTTGGACGTAGTCCTGTGCCATGTGCTCTAGGTGACCCTGCGTGTGCAGGGGGGTTGGACTAGATGACCTCTGGAGGTCCCTTCCAACCTTAAGGATTCTATGATTTGATGATTCTCAAGCAGAGTAAACTTGGATCTGCCTCCACACGTGCCATGGATAAATTTCTTAAAATGCTATTTCAGAAAGTTAACCAACGCCCTTAACTACACAGCCTTAGGTCTGGAAATAAACTCACAGAATGTGAGATAGCTTTAGAAGTAAGCATGGAATCAGAGAGGCCAGAGAAGGTGAGAGGTGTACCTGAAAACATGGCAGTTCCAGCCTAATCTGGCCTAATACTCTTTTACAGTGATCTCTGTCCTTTTAGTCCTTGTCCTTTCTGGCAGCAACACCAGTTACTGCCTAATGTGATTGTTGTCCACTAGAATAAGACCATCACTGCTAACATTTCAGTGTTTCCTTTCTTCTGCACTACCTTATCCGCTCATGCTGAGGGCATAATGACAAAATGTAGAATTTAGCCTTAATTGGATCTCTGCAATGTTATCACCTGAATTAGATCCCCCATGAATAATTATTGCTGCCTGGAGGCTGACAAATTGCTTCTCTCTACTTCACGATTGTCAAGAATTTCAAATTATTTGCTGAGTTTGAGGAGAAAAAAAAAAAAAAAGCCTGGAGAAGCATAAAAAGCCTAGAGAAGCGTAATTATTCAGATTACTAAAATATTTGGCATGGAGTCCCATGCTTGCCTGGGATTTCAAAAGATGTGACTGACAGCATGAACTTTGCGAGGGGCAACTGTGCAACTCCCAGTCCTTTGGACAGCAATGACTACTGCAATAGATTTACACAGTCAAAACAAAACTATTACTGCTGCTACTGCCTCGCCCAGACTTAGGCACTTCACTGCTATTCACTATCCAATGTGCTATTCACTATCCAATTTAACCCATCTGCATCATCTGGTTTAGTGTCTCATCTACATATTTGGTCTTGCCAGATATATGGTAAATTCTTGGTAGCATGGACTGCAAGACATCTTTTTACTCACATAAAAGCTGCACATATGTAAGGAGATAGCAACACATTACCATGCATTTTAGAACAGCGTATAATGGCTATTCCCTGCTTTATCCTAAAAATTTCTCAAGGAAGAAATATTATTTATGAGAACAAGCATTATATGTCTGGACATGGCTTTGAACAGACACGCAACGCACCACTGCACCACAATATCCATCACAGTTATTCAGTGAGCTGACAAATTAAGAAATCTTCATGTTACAAAAACAAATCWCTATCAAAAGTACAATACTCTTTGAAAACTGCCTTGAAATGATGGGAATAAGCAATAGAGCTTTATCCAACATTCATATTAGTGCTACTGCATTTGTAAGATTGATGCATTTCTCAACTCAAGTTTGGTTCCTTGCATTTCCTTCACCACCATGCAGAGCYCACAATGCAAAAATCAAACACAGAGCAGGTAACTGTGGATGTGTCCCCAGAAGAAGGTTCTTCTGCTCACCTGACATACAGTGACCTTTTCTGATTAGTCCTCAGGGAGCCGGAACCAGAACTCATGCTGTGATTCATCATCTGCTCACGCAGGTCATGGATTTTTGCCTCAAACCGAGCGTACTCTGCCAAGAAAACAGAGAGCAAAGATATTTCAGTTTTCTTGACCCATGTAATCATTAGGGCTGCTAAATGCTAAAGAACATTAAACAATGTAGTCATGTCCAGAAGATTGAGGTCCAGTAGATACTTAAATTATTATATCACCTTAGGTAAATATATGAACAATACTTGAACATTTCAGCATGTTCTGCACATGTACCATGCAGTCTCCCTCACACCYACACCCTGCAATTTCGAGAAAGAAAATGAGGTTCAAAGTGTGTTGCTGCGTATCCTAGACAGTCTGAAAATAAGAGATGTTGAAACCAGGTTTCCACCTTATCACTGCTCCTTCCAAACAGTAAGTTTCCTTGTTGGCTGGCTGTGGGATACTGCACTAAAGTTACTAGGAATGAAGCATTTAGTGTGAAATCCTCCTGAACTGAAGAAACACCTCAAGGTCTGTTTATCCCTGAAGTAGCTGTGAAATTCTTGCATTAAGTGCCCTTTCTGGTTAAAGAAGGAGGCAAAGTGATGACTGTTCTTCCCAGAGGAAGAGGTAGCTTGGACCTATTTAACACCAGTATAGAACTTAACAGAGAATTGATCATTGGAGTTACCTGTGTAAAGCACCCACAGTGTTTTGTAGCCTGGTCAAGAGCTGTTACTTGAGGGACAATTAACTTCTTGAACTATCTTCTCTACCCAGGACATTGCGAAAGGGGCTCTGTCTCTTTTAAATAGTGGAGCAGTACCTGGGGCTTATGGTGAAGGGATCTCAAGAGACTTTGAACCTGTGCCAGAATGGCACAAAACCCCTTTCCACATCCTCTTTCCTCCCCTCCAGAGTTAGGCTTTTAGCTTTGTGAAGCACTGTGTCATGCCAACCAGCAACCTGGGACCAGTACTGGGGCAAGGACTTGGCTGGAGGTGTATGATTTAGTGAGGATCTCTCTGAAGGAACATTTGCCCCATATAGCCTGGCTCTCCTGATGGTCTCTCCTGCAACACCCTTCTGCTCCTCAGTGAATGACTTTATATAAAGAGTTTAAGGTTGAAAGGAGAAAACTTGAAGTTCTGAAAACGAGCTTAAATTCTTGAAGGCGACAAGGTAAAGGCACTACTCCATCAACATGAAGAATTATAATTCAACCTAGAATTCAGAGATTTACCAAAGTGAGCTAGAAGACTGGGTTGAGGGGGTGGACAAAATCCCTTCCAATGAGTCAGTGACACTTTGAAGGGTGAGATGTTGCAGACTGATGCCAGGAAGAGATGAAATTGCTCACTGAACATCAGTACCTTATTTTGCTGCCTGCTTCAAAATGAGGGTCTGCCCTTCCTCTAGATGCCTGTCAAGGCTGGAGCAGAAATGAAACCACCCTGCAGTATTTCCTCCCTTGAAGGACGGAGGCACCTCCCATAAAGTCTAAATTTAAGCAAATAAATTGGCCTAGGCTTGTTGCTTTTTGAACTACATGAGAGTGCTGTAAAACACCAATATTCTCAATTTCTTCTAAGAGAATTTTAGGCAGTATTTTTTACCATTTGCTGTTCACACTGACCTTGTTCCCAGCATGTCTAAATGCTATGCAACAACAAATAATTCATTTTATTCAGTGCCCTTTAACTTTTCATTAGATAATAACATCTGACCTTTCCAGGAACCAAGATTTTGAAGTGATGCCAGGTACCTTCAAGCTTGCCTACCAAAGCTATTTGACATATTTTGGATCTGAGGTTTACTTCCCCTGGCTCTYCCTTGCTTGATATACTTCTACTTCTTTATCATTGAGCTGTTTCTCCATTACCTACTACTGAATTTGCTAAGTTGCTGTGGCTACTTTGCCAATCAGCTGGGAACTCCTGCTGTCACATAAAGCTCTTCAGTCTTCCCACACACCTATGACTTCACCGACTGCAGATGAAATTCCGCATGTCAGGAGAAGGGAAGAGACACTCCTACTCGCAGACTGTATTTTGGATTTATTCTTTTACTTGCTTCTTCCTTATTTCTTTTACCGACAGGACATCTTCAAACTTCTCAGTAATTTAAAAACCCAAATCCCCAAAGAGACGTAGGCTCTGATGTACCTATGTTATTTTTAAAAGTGAGGTCTAGTTTTGAAATGTTTATCCCAATCTAGGACTTGAGCCTTGCTTATGTGAGTCATATTTGTTTTATTCTGCTGCTCTGGAATTTATTTAGTAAATAACCATATGAGCACGTCTTTGTTTAGCTTATATTTCATTCAACAGATGCCACACTTCTTCTTGATACATTGGAAAAGAGGCTCTTCAGACAGTATTGTTTTCCACATAAGAACAGAATACAGCAAATTTGGGCTTATTACTTTTTCATATGTTCACTGAAGAAAATGATAAAACATACTGAAAAAAAAAGGGCATATTTCAATGTGTTTTGGTGCTTTACACGTGAATGAGGTCAAGTATATGTGTGGTTCGCATACAGCAGCTATATGGTAGCTTTCCCTTTAATATACATCAATGGCCCAGGCAGATTCTGCAATGACGTGTGGGAGTAACTCCCAGATTTAGACACAATCTGGACAGTGAGAAGAGTGGAGCAAAAATCTGATTCTTTCAAGCATCACATCCAGTTATTTGTAACTTGAACACCAGCACATGAGATACTTGGATGACTGTGGTATGGTCAGATGATGATATTATAGATTTTGCTGTGACTTTAGAAAACGCTTATAATTTAACTGATTTTAACTGCCTGCAAATTTATCCTGAATCTAATAATCTCTCTCTTTAAAAAGAACATTTTAAAATCAAAATATGTGCTAAAAAATGCCCCAAAAATGGTTGATTGAGGTCCAGGAGTCAAGCTATTCCTCCTTTCTTAATTAAAGGAAAAGTAGAACGATCATTCTGTTACTTGGGAGTCTTTGGATTTTTTTTTCTTTTTGGATTGAAATMCATACGTAACTTGAAAATAAGCAAATATATTGGCCTATATTTTCCCACAATACTTTCTTCATATTTATACATCAAAATAGTCCTGAAACATGCACCAGTCCATTTCTCCTAACAAATACCTGGACTAAACATTGCAAAATTATCAAGTGCAGATAGTATCTGGCCCAACTCGGCTTAGCTTCTTTACTCTAACTTAGTCCTCCTGGCATCTAGAGACTGGCGCCAGAAACCACAAAGACTGGTTTCACTTGAAACAAGAAAGTGATGCTCCCTTTCTGCCATCAGAACTGCTACAGCAGTCTTGCCTACTCTGCCAAGTCCTTTCTCCTTAATACTCCTCTCTATATATGGGCTTATTGAAGAGCTACTTCCTAATAACTTTGCAGTATCTAGGTGAGAACAAGTGGTACTGTTAAAGACCGGAAAAGTATTCCATGCTTCCTTCAAATTCAGCATGGAATCAAAACAGTACACTTTAAAGGTTCCTACAGAATTAAAACAACACTATGGTTGTGACATTCTGACAACAAATCCAGTTAAAGGTTGATTCACTAATTTCATGCCCTTTAAAAATGAGAGAAAAAAGAATGTATTGCTGCCAGAGAATATCATTAGAACGATTTTTGCCAAATTTTACTTACCAAAATCCACCTGCAAAGGTCCTATCAATTGCCTCATTTAGTAATGATCTAGGGAGCTAATTCTGATTGCTTAAAGTTTAAGAAACCAATAAGTTATGCATTAGACTGAAAGGACAAATGAGTGAGCAAACTGCAACATATATTATTCTGGAGACCAGACCAGATGATATAATGGTTCCTGTTGGTCCATGGCTCTGGAAACATCACTGCCAGCAGCAGGGCAGATGTGCAGGAGGAAGATGTTTGTTCATACCCAGCTCTACAATAGCCTAAGTTCATGGTAATACAGGTAGGACTGAACTTAGCTGTACCAAGGATAAAAATGCAACTTATTAGCTGCAGAGAAGCAGAGGCAGCACTTGGTGGTGGGAACGGAGTTTGTCGTGGCTAGGAATGGCCCAGCAGCAGGGTGCAAGATCACTTCTCCAGGGCTCTGGCATCGCTTCTGACTGGACTCTGAGCAGGCTGCCAATGTCAGTGGTACTGCCCTAAACTGTTGTCTGTTTTGCCAAGGTTTAAAGTTGGTCCTGCTCAACTCTCTRGGTGGGCTGGGGAGAGAGAGAGGAAACAGCTGATGTGCCAGAGTGCGAACTGTCCCCAAGTCCAATCAAGGCCGAAAGTGAACAGATTTATCAAATACAGAGACCAGTTTGAGGAACAGACATGTGTTTGCTTTGTACAAGACTCATTAGCCTGAATATACAGATAGAGAGTTGAGGTTTTTCCTCCTGCCTCATTCCAACAGCTTCCCAGATGCTAAATCTGTGACCTACACATATTCTAATCTTTAAAAACAAATATAGCTGCTTGTTTTTCCAAGGCACTTACATGTGCAAAGTGGACTGGATAGATCTCTGGGAGAGGGCTTCAAACATTGTGAGTTCTCTCCTTAGTTCCTGTAAAAGGACAGCCCCCCAAAACAGAACTCTAAAAATAACAGGCCAAACCTAAAATTTCAAATTTAGCTGGCCAAGATCAAAACACAATATTCCACTTCATCCACTTTGGCATCTGAGGATATGCAGGCAGTTGCATTTTCACTGCTGAAGTGACTCACAGACCTAAAATCCAACAATCCCTTCTACAATGRGATTGTTGACCAGCTTTCATGGCCCACAATCTGACACCGTGCAAGCTGCTGAGTCTGATTCCTCCACACTTATGTCCCTCCGTGTCCTCTCCAGGAAACTGTCTTGAGTTTTTAATCCTACAGTGAATGCTGAGAAGTTAAGGATCATCCTGATAAGTGTTGCCAAGACCAGTCTTTGCATAGATATAGGCCTAAGCGATTTGTCAAAGACCAGAGACAACTCACTGGGCTTTACAATGCAGGGATTTTGAACCTGTCTTTTAAAATATGCTTCATATCCAACATTTAATTACTGTGGGAATATTAGCACTGCTGAGAGAGTCCTGATTTTGCCTCAAACCTTTCG